TTCTATGATCTTCATGCAAATTGTACTATTGTTTAGTGACTTCCACTGTTAAGAATGTGTATTGACTTTGTAGTGTGAACTTGTTAAGGTTAGCATTCAAAATGTTTAATAAGTTGCTCCTTATTAGAAATTAAAATAATTTAAACTTCACATTTTTAACCTTTGTTTTTATCTTCTTAATTGGTGTGGCTTCTATTTTCCAAACCTTGAATGCTTCTAACCTGGATTTTATGGACTCTCTCCAGTATACTGGCAAACATTTAAATTCTAGGCACTAAGAGCTCAATTCAGTTGCTTGTTTCTAGCACTCTGTAGAAGCTTCACCCATTGCAGCTGGCCTCCAGCTGCAATTCCAGAAGTAGTTTCCTTTAGGTTTGGGGATACATCTGCTTGTCCTGCATGGACACTCAGATGTACTAGGTATTAATAACTTAAAAGGCATTGGATGCTTCTTTACTGACAACTGAACTAAGCCCAAGAAATATTAGGAACTTTGCAAATATTATCTGCACAATTAGCATAAAGTACCAAATCTGTATTACTTAGGTCATATGTTTAAAATCAATGCTTGACTTCCAGCTATAGCTGAACACATACTTGACTGACTACTTGTAATGACCAAAAGGTTCTTCAGTGAAAATTTTATGAAATACTATCTTATATTTTACAGATAGGATACTAATTCTGTTGTTTTGATAGCTCAACTTACTGAAAAAAAAAAAAAAAAAAAAAGACCTAAAGTAAAAATCTTATTTGACAGATAAATGATCCATTACTACTCTTGAATTATTTTTCCACTGTTTGTGACACCCAAAGTTTTTACTTCCTATAAATATAGCTTTTTTCTCACCCTCTTTTAAGCAGACAAGGATAAAGAATTATTCCCCCCTCCTTTTTAAAAAAAAAAAAAAATTGTACATATTTGAACACTGTTATCATGTCTCCCCTTCGTCTTCTCTTCTCTAGACTAAACAAACCATCTCCTCTCAGTCTTTCCTCAGAGGTCATATTTTCTAGACCTCTGATCTCTGCTCTGGACTCCCTCTTATGGCTAAAAGTTCTTCTAAGTACATGGGTTTCCCAAAACCCAGCAAACTTTTAGGAAAAGCTTAGCAGTGTTGAGTAAAGGGATTACAAGTCTTACACTGATCTTATCATACGTGTACTCTTTATATATGATTCTTGCTTTTTTTTTTTTTCTTTTTTTTTCAAAAGACTATGATATCATGTTCCCAGCATCTCCTATTGGAATGGCCAAAAACAGGCTGTAAAAGTATTTTAAAATGGAGTAAAATGCCAGCTGAGAATTTTTATTAGCATTTGGCACTAATATATAGTTGAATCATGCACAAGACAATGAACATTTCTCTTACAGTTATATTTTCATTACATTCTGTTTTTTGTCAAAAGAAAATCACCTTTCTGAAAAGGTAAAAGGCTGAAGGAGTAACTGGGTGACATAAGATTTAAGAAGTATTTTATAACACAGATATATTTATTACAAGTGAAATGTCCAAAATATCAAATAAAATATGTTTTCTGAAAGTAATTTAGCAAAAAATATGTTTCATTCTAGAGATAATTATATTTAAATATCTCATACTGAATCTTAACAGGATTTTTGTTTTAATACAGCACTAAAACTTGGTATGTTGAAAAGGAAATATTTTATTCTTATATAATTTATTTCAAAACATACTTTGCTTCTGTTTGAACACATTTAGATGATTACAATAACTTTAATCTTGAATTAAATTAAGAAATAGATTTACCTTGTAATTCTCCATTTTATTAAAAAGGGAAATTTACATGTACAAAACAGGAAATTTCCTGCAGAATGAAAACTGGTTTATTCATATACTATATGTGTGTTCAGTAGCGATTTAGATCCTTGTTCAGAACTGAAACGTAGCAACACCCTTATATTTCCACAGCACTGGCATTTGTTTGTTGTAAACTATATCATTTTCTATTCTTATTTAACTGCAGATTACTTTATCCTTAATCTAACTGCATCAAATAAATACAACATAATTTGATTCAATACATCTTTCCACAACTGTTTTAATGTGAAATGGCAAGCTTAGCCCAGCACCCCTCATCCTTGTCCTTCAGACTCTGATACATATGGCTAACTATGTCCAGATGAGTGGTCCCACTAACTTCAGACAGGGCTTTCAGACACTCTGAAGTCACTTAACTCAATCCTGCTCATCAATGGGAGGCATTATGGATCTGACAGGGCTGAACCCACTCCACGCTGAACACTTCGTGGTCAATCAGAAGGTGGGGGGAGGTTGTGTTTCTTCATGTGCCAGCTGAGGCTCAAACTTTCAGTCAGGGGACACTGTTCTACCTGTATGAATTCCAGCACCCAGCAGTCTATATTATAGTACAAGAAATAATGTTTTTGTTTGTTTGTTTGTTTTTGTTTTTTTTGTTTGTTTCTTTAGCTTTGTGATGTTTATCAAACTATGTCATTAATACACATTGATTTCTTGTTGTTTAAAATTATTGTATTTTAATATGTGTTCCTTCCTCTGAATTTTTCAAAATAAAATTACAGAAATGACGTTGCAACTTCTTTTAAGTGAACCTGAATTAATACATCTCAACACATTAAGGAGAAGATTATAATAGCAGATAAAATATAGTCTCTGGGGCACAAAAGAAATTGGACATTCTAGGTTCTATCCACTTACAAGTAATTATGAAGTAATTATACTTGCAAGTATGAATGGATTACAAACCACCATTCTTTTAAGTAAATTTAAACAGTACCCTTGATCTCTATCAGCAAGGCTTTTTTCTGTTAACTAATAACACATTGCAGCCAAACCTTTCACTGCCATCTGTCCAAATGGAAACATGTGGTATTAGAGTTCTAATACTGTGCCCTTGGTAAAGATATACCTTAGAGATTTCTTTCGGAAAACTTCATAGTTAGCAAACAATTTGTGGGCAGTTAATTTGCTCCCTTGCTGGGATTTGCATTCCCACGTGTGAAATGTGCTATTCTGATGGTAATATTAAATTAAATGAATGTACACAGGATCATATTTACATAATATGGATTGTATTTACTCTGTGGGAAACTTGACTGTCCTGCAAAAGACCGTTATTGAACAGAACTGAGAGTATTTGAATTTATTTTTGTTGTTCTTGAGCTCATCCTGTAGTATAAATTTGTAGAACGAAACGTACTCTTCTTGCATCAGCTCAAGACTTATTACATTGCAGAAATGAAAAACACCTTCAATACATGTTAACACATATGGAGCCACACACACTCATCTTGCAATACAAATTCTCCAAGGGCTATGCAGATTGAAAAAGCATAATATATTCACACTATAAACACATTTCCTTTTGTTTTTTTGTTTTTTTTTGTTTTTTTTTTTCCCTAACAATCACAAAATAAGCTATTTTGAGAACATCTTCAAAAAGAAATGCCAGATTGTGAGACATTTATGTTGAACAGTGTCTTTCCTCATGAATTAAAATATACCTGTGGGTATGGTCATGACAAGTTCACTATCTTAGAAGTTGAATACAGGGAGTGATGCATATCTATTGTGACCAAAAGTTATTAGTTGTAAAACCTATTCATTTTGGACTATTACAACTTAGTGAAAGCATTTCACAAAAGAAAATTATGATCAAATGGTCATAAAAAAGAAAGAACAATTTAAAAATAAAAATAATAATTAAAAAAAAAAAAAAAAAACATTTAAAAGAAGAACATTAAAAATAAAAATAAAAAGAACATTTTGCAAACACGGTTAAGTGCTTGTAAGGAAAAAGGTAGGAATATTCAAGACTTGAGACTTACAAATTAATCCCAAAGATCAACTGAGCATTATCATAATAGTAGTTAAAGAGAAATTATTAAAATGTAATTAAAAGCTTGTTTGTGTCAAAGCCTACAAGATAAGTACAAGAGGAGTTCTCGAGTTCTTGTCTGCCAGACCTATTTCATGTACATGAGGCTATGTAGCCCTTTCTTTAATGCTTAGCATTTCCATGAAGTCCTACACTTACCAAAATATGTGGACATTTGTGTTGGGCAATTCAGAGGAGACTTGAAGCAGCATCATTCTTCCAACCGCGGTATGAGGAGTATTGCTAGCAGAGGAAACTGAGGGAAGGAGTAAAGGATGACCAACCTCCAGCAATATTCTCTTGTTACATCTTAATTACTTTTCCAGCAATCAACAGTGTAGAAGCTTCCAGAGAGGAAGATCTGCACCCATATTTCTGCATCTAGTTCTTCCATGATTTTAGATAGTATTTAAACCCATAGAATACTCACACACATTTTGTTTTCAGAAGAATATTGACTCTTCCCTTTATAATACCACAACTCTGTGGGATAGCAGGATTTCTACCTACATCGAAAATTATATGGGACTCATTTCTCTAACAAGTTATCACTCAACTTGCCACTCCTTTGCAGACTGGTTCTTGGCCCCTGCTATGTCCCCTCATGTAGTTGTGCTTCCTTGATGCTTGGCAGCCATGCAGTTGGCCATCTTCATAGAAACACTCTTTGTTTTATGCAAATTATAAAGTGGAGAAGAAGTATAGTGCCATTAGGGTGTAACTTTACATCTTAAATAAGGCACAACATTCAATGAAATGAAAATGTCACTGGGAACACAACTTGTTTAATTTAAGAGGTATGTTTTGGGCAGTTTACATGAGAAAGAACAGAGAATCCTTTTATGAACTCAAGTTTTCTTTATTGAAGTTAAATAAATAAAATGTAAATCTTATGAAGATTTTAACTGAAAATTGCTTTTGGCGAACACCATTTCTGCATCTTTTCTAAATAAGGCTTTTTTGTTCAATTTTTAAGTGATATCATTGACATTTGCAAACAGAATTTTCCAGCAAAAGTAACAGTTGAAAAAGCCACATATTTCTCAAAGCCAAGCTGACCTAACATAATGTTAGACTGAAGTTACATTTACATGACATGCTGTTTTGTTTGTTTTCAGTGAGGCTACCATCTTATGACAACATTTGGAAATGATAAAAGGATAAAGTGAGGACCCCCTGTCTGTTTATATTAACACTGTATATCCATAAACAGGAACGAATCAGTGAGTACAAATCTCCTTAATTGTTTTACAGTTCTATTTATTTTTACTACATTTTATGTATCCCAATGAGAAGCACTGAGTTATTAATCATGTAGTAAGCCGTATTATGTATGAACAGAACTCTATGCAAAAAAAAAATAATAACAACTCTTTTCACTTTGCTTGGCTGCCATACAAATTACACTAAATCATCCACAGAATAACTCCACCCATAGTATTTACTATAAATGGGCTAATATCACAAATGTATTAAATATTTATAGTATTTTCTAAGGTCATTTGTCATCGTATGGAATATATAACAAATAATAAAGTTCAGAAATATTTTTTTTAAATCTCAGAACCCTGCAATTCTGGCATTATTCTTAAAGCAATTTCTTAGCTAAAAGCTTAAATCAACCTCTGGGGCTTTTAAGAATTATATTGTAATATATATTTATATATATATTTTAGGAGACTGTGAGAAGGGGATCATAACATATGTCAGAGACTCTGTGCTATCTCTGTAAGCAATATACAGTTAGGTGTAGAATCCATACAGGCTAAGAGTAAAATTAAGTCTGAGACAAAATACACTGATATCTGTGCATGAGATGTGGATAGATAGGTGACAGTTGTATGTGTAGTAGAAATGCAGTGGGTTTAGGTTAACCTAAAACATGAGAATAGCAGTTTCACATTCATTAAGAACAGTATCCTGACATTGATCATATTGAAATTTACACTGCTTTATGTGAAGCAACTAAATGAACTATTTCATATATGAATATCTCTTCTGCTTTTCAGATTGAACACTTATCGATCTGTCAGGGTAGAACATTCATTCTTAGAAAGATGGTTTGCTGTTAACCTATTGACCTGGAGCAATCATGACCTAGAACTTTGAGGCACACAGCCATGACTTTTTAATGTGAACAGGAAAACCGTGTAACAGCTTTGATATAAAATAGACAAGGATTAATACTAGAAACAGATGAAAACTCAAGGTAGCTTTTAGAAAATGTGAATCTAATCTCCCAGAATGCTAGAACTGTCAGAAACAGCAGAGGAAGGACCTTCTACTGCAACAGAAATGATGTCCACCTACTGATCCTGCTGGTCTGAGGCTGAAAACCAGACGGAGGGTCCACAAACTCCCCAGGCAGATGTCTATACACAAACAGACCTCCCAAGGATAAAAAGAGCTGCTCAGATTCTTAGTTCCAGGCAACTCCAGTCTCTGAAAGTCCCCCAGGCCCTGAAGGCAGAGCTGGGTGTAATGGGTGCAAGTTTGCCCAGCTGAATTAACTTCTCAGAAAGGTGGCTCTGTTGCGAGAGGAGCTCATCGGACTACGTAGCATCCAGGAATCTGAGTGGGAGATTAACAAATGGTATGTTCTGACACACGCCAAGCAACAGCCCTGCCTTAAATCCTGGCAAGACTAAGGTAAACAGGCTTCCAGCCTTGAACAAACATATTTGAAAGTCTCACAGGACAAAGAAGAGTGGACCCTTGTCTTTGCCTGGAACTTGAAAACGAATCCTTGCCCCAAAAGTACCACTGAACAACAGATACGATGCAAGAGAGAGGAGACTCCGAGAGTAATAGTAAAGACCTCAGAAAGGCCAACCATACAAAGTTGGCTCAGTCTCCTACCTATATCAGAACCAATGCCACAAAAAAAAAAAAGGCATGAAGGATGTTAGTAATTGGAGACTCCTCTCTGAGAAGCACTGAGGCTCCCATTTTCCATCCGGATAATCTCTCCAGAGAGGTTTGCTGACTGCCTGGGGCCTGCATTTATAATACTACAAAGAGGCTACCAAGCCCAGTGGGTTCCAAAGATTACCACCCCTTCCTACTTTTTCATGTAGAACCAAACAAGGCTGCAAAAAGAAGACTCTGAAACATCAAAAGGGACTTTATTTCTCTTGGAAAGATGTTGAAGGCATCAGGATAGCGAGTACTGTTCTCCTCTGTCCTCCCAGTTGGTGACTGGTACCCAAGAGGAAGGAGATGAATGGACCAAGTGAATGACTGACTGTGAGACTGGTGGCATGCTCTAGGTTTTAGGTTCTACAATCTTAGACGCACTTTTGAGAGACCATGTGTGTGACACCAGAAGGGGTGCAGCTGACCAAGTGGGACTAGAGTGTTCTGTGCAGGCAGCTGGCTGGGATTCTCACAAGGGATTTATACTAGTTGTGGTGGGGGAAGTGGATGTACCTCTGAGTGAAGGAAGCAAACCTGGGAACATTGTCACACAAAGAAACAATAGGGAAATGCTTGTGAAATGTCCCAAAGTAATCAGGAAAAGTTCTTCTGGAAAAGTGATGCAACCAATAGTCCAGCCAAAGTGCCTTCATACCAACACAAGCAGCATGGGAAACAAGCAGGAGGAGTTGGAAACCATGGTGTAATTACAAAAATATGACCCTAATGCTGTCACAGAAACATTGTAGGACAGATCACACAACTGGAACACTGGAATAGAGGGCTACAAGTTCTTCAGAAGAGACAGACAGTGAAGAAGGGGAGAGGGTGTTTACATTAGAGAAGGGAATGACTGCAAAGTGTTGCCTCTGAGAGAGAGCCACCGACAGGTTGAGAGCTTGTGGGTGAGAGTTAAGGACCACACGCTGAGGTTGGAATCTACTACAGGACACCTAACCAAGGGGAGCCTGTGGATGAGGCATTCTTGCTTCAACTTGCTTCAACAAGCAGCATCACAATGCTCTCATCCTGATGAGGGACTTCAACCACAAGGTTGTCTACTGGGAAAGCCACACAGCAGGCTGTGAGCAATCCAGGAGATTCCTAGAGTGCATTGAGGATAACTTCCTGGTATTAGACAAACCAACTAGAGGAGAAGTGTTACTGGAGCTGGTGTTCACCAGTGTGGATAAACTCATTAAAGTTTATCCGCACAGCACAAGAAGGGGTCCAGAGGAGGGCCATGAAGTTGGTTAGAGGGCTGGAGCATGTCTCCTATGAAGAAAAGCAGAGAGAGGTGGGTCTGTTCAGCTTACAGAAGAGAAGGCGCTGGGGTGACCTTATTGCAGCTTTTCAGTACTGAAAGGCTTAGTAAAAAGGGCTTAGAAAAAAGATGGAAAGAAACTTTTTGCTCAGTCAGATAATGGCAAGAGAAGGGGGAATGGTTTTAAACTAAAAGAGGGGAGATTTTGATTAGAGGTTAGGAGGAAATTCTTCACTTGGAGGGTGGTGAGGCTCTGGCACAGGTTACCCAGAGAAGCTGTGGATGCCCTGGAGGTGTTCAAGACCAGGTTTGACAAGGCCCTGGGCAACCTGATCTGGTGAGTGGCATCCCTGCCCATGGCAGGTGGGCTGGAACTAGACAATGCCTGAGTTATATAAAGTGTTTTTATTTTAGCAGATTGAAGCCAGCATCACACAAATGCTAAATTCTTCTCAAGGAAAAGTTAATGTCATGTTTCTGATTTTATTTTCTTTTAGTTTCCTAATAGTTAAACTCCATTGGAGCTGCTTCTCATTTACAAGGGTACATAACAAAAGGAACCAGGCTATAGCTGTACTTTCCAATCTCTCTCACACATCTTTTTACCTTTCAAAAGTTCATATTTTTTAAAAAAACAAATTCCACGTGATGTTAGAGGGAATAAAAAGTTTCCAAAACACGTTATTCCCCCAGACTTATTTTGTTTCCGGCACATGTAGAGCAATGCTCAGAACTGAACTGCAATAGCAAGCGTTTCTTATTTGAAAAGAACGTTTATATTGTTATGTGCAGAATTCAGTCTGGATAATAGGAAATCATGAATTTTTCATCCCAGTTCAATAAAGCATTCCAGAATTTGCTTAAAATTAATGTTAATGACGTGCTTAAGCACTTTTCTGAATCCTAGCATAAATAAATATACCATTTGTGTAGGTGACCAAAAGGACCTAAGGCCAGATTTTTCAGTATGTCTAAGCTGGTCTATACCAGTGGAAGATTGTAGATGGCTGGCAAAAGCCAGCTTTTTAGTGATCTTTGATACTTACAATGATCCTACAAACTTATAAACTTTTATCTATTGTATTAATTTAATAATTTTTCCTATAATTAAATTCTTTTGTGAGCTTAAGACAGTCATTAAGGACCAACAGCTAAACACATCTAGTGGGATGTACATAAATTCTTCAGCAAGAAACATCCTTAAAGATGTTGAAAGTACTATTTATGCACTTTGAAAATTTAGCCCAACTTGTCAGACTTCATCATCTGGACTGAAAATGATTATGACACTCCTAAATATACCTAAATAATTGTCACTCATTAAGAATTTTGACTTAACATCATTAATGTCATTAAACTCTACAAAATTTTCATGAAGACGTCTACAGAAATATTAAGAAAAGTCAGAACTAGATGTGGCAAAACTTTTAAAAACAAATTGTCCTTCTATTACTACTGCTACAGGTACAGTCCAATATTTAGAATTACTGAACATTTCATTTTGGAGAGGATTTGAATATGTTAGTGACACCTCCAAGAAAAGCTATCTTTGACATAAGACCAAGTTCTTCATTATCTTGTCGTGTTTATTACTGTCATTTTTTGTATTATCATTAGGCACTTTTCAAGTCATTTTGGGTACATTCTTGCTTCACTGTGGGCTATGTATAGCTATAGTAGATATCTATTCAAGTCTTGGTGTGACTGTATCATTGCTGCATGCATAAATTCATTGTTTTTTCTGTAAACAGGTCCTTGGATCCCCTGTTACTCTTCCATGTAATATTCCACAATGTCTAGCCATAGCACAAGAAAATGGTACCTCTCTTGTGCAGCATATAAACTTTAAATTGTATTCATATTGTTAACCTTGCTCTAATGCATTGCAAACTCATAATGCTACTCTCCATGTTTCTATTTCCCTTTTTCAAGATGAAACTCATTTTGTTATTTTTCCTGCCTTTCATTCTAATATCCCTGTTGATCTGCTACAAAGGTTATTGAACTCAATGGGGATCTTGGATAAATATCTAGGTTCCTTTGTAGGATCTTTCTTTCATCGCTTCTTGCAACTCCACTCTCTTATTCATCGTAGTGGACATTCATTAATGGGTGGCTTACTTCTAGATTAGTGAAAATGTTAAATAAAGCCATACTCAATATAGATCCCTGAAATACTTCATTGGAAAAAGACCTTTTCACAAATCTATGTTTTAATGTTTTGTCTTCTGCTTTTGTTTATAGTCTTTCAGCCACTTTTCATTCCACAAGATAGTGTTCATACCCCAGGCAATTTAAATTAATTCAGCATTTTCTATCAAATAGTTTCCACATACTGGGCCAAACTCTTTCCTGGTTATTCAAGCACACACTTATTGATATCAGTGGGATTATATTGAAACAATGCAGTTTTTTGTTATTTTGTTTGTTTTTTTCTTTTTCTTTCCTTCCTTTCATTTAAAGTTTTTATTCTTTTTTTAGTTTTGTTTTATGATGATAATCAGGAATTTAAAAATCAGCGTATTTATTCTTTTTATGATCTGTCAACATATTTTAATCTGATAGACAATAAAATACAATAATGTGATTATGCAAATAAAAAATATTTTCTTCATCTCTAAAGAATGGGCTTAAGTGATGATAAAAAATGGATGAAAGCCTTACTCTTTTTTTATATGTATTCACTGTTAGGTATACATATTAAAATATGCATATATATATATATATATATATATATATATACATATTTACATATGTTCCAAAGTAACTTGCTCTCCTTCTTCTACAATATGTTTAATTTTATAGCAGCAATCTTTCCTGAAGCTGAATTGATCTTTGGGGATAGTTATGCTTATATTCAATTTAATTGAAATCTGGAACTTTCTGAAGTACTGGAATCTGTTGTGTTTTTTTTTTCCCTCACTTCTTGCATTAGTTGGAACAATTTCATTGTCATTACAGGGATCTGACATATTGCAGAAGATTCATCTTGAAATACTTTAAATGACAATCTGAGGAATGAAATCTGAGTCAGAAATCATAAAAATTACTATTAGAACAGCCAACAAAATGCCTTTTCAATTAACATCCTATCTGGATACTCAAATGGTATCCCCAATTAGTATTAATAAAACCTGTTTAAAACCAGATCTGGCTGGAATAGCTGAGGGGCCTGTTGGTAAAATTCCTAGGTCACTGATTAAATCCAGTACAGATCAGTAACATCTGAAATTTATGTTTGGTAACAAACATGGAACATTTTGATTGGTTCAGCCCAGTATCTAGTACAAAGATGATGACATAATTAAAAAAGATAGACATATTTAGAACTGTTGTTACCCTTGGGAAGATCTCAACAGAACATAGTGGGGGGGGAGGGAGGGACTTTTTTTGTAATCACAACAAAGACATCTGAAGTAACAAAATGAAAAGTATTAGCATAGAATCTTGCCCTGCTTTAGTCTGCTCCTTCCATGTTATGTTCATCAGAGCATGCCAATCAAACTAGGTAAGTACAATCATGATCTATAGGACTTCAAAAGCACCTGTGTTTCCTCCTTAACTGTATGGAGAAATTAACCACTTATCTTATGCAGTCATATTCATCAGGAAACAATGAACCAAACCATGTGTGTAAATTGGAGGAACTGAGACCAACCCATAGAATGCATTTTATGTGCACATGCTTTCCGATCACCAACCATAATTTCCCTGACTGAATGCTTAGATGCTGTACTGGAAGTTTTTGTCATGCGCTCTGGATGGGCGTAGCTCAGAGGAACAGATGTGTGTGCAACATGTAGGTTGCAGAGACCGACTGTCCAAGTCAGTCCCACAGAGGATTTGTCTGGCAGATAATATTTACTGTAACAATGACAACAGCTGATTATCACCAGAGGAGGATATAACCCTATCCAGAACAGGTGAAGCAAAGGGGAGGGAAGGATCTATGATCTGCATCCATGTTGGCCAAAAGTGGTGGGAGCCCACCAGTCCCACATTCTAGCAAAGCTCATTAACCAACACCTGTAAAGTGTTCAGAAGAAAAACCTGTCTCACCTCCTGGTCCACTTTGAACCCATGAATGAGATTCATTCATGGGGCCAGAAAGACATTTAGGTGGAGGAAAATGTCTGCTTAGATCTTTAGTCTTTCAGTGCTTTTCTCTGGCCCCTATATTCCCTGGAGCAACAAAATTAATCATGATTTGTTCAGAGTGACTAATCTGCTACTGTCACAGGCTATCAGAGGAAAAGTCTTTGGGAGAGATTTGTCATCTGAAATATGCACTTTGGAGGGGACTATATGTAGGACAGTACATGAGTATGTATCTGTTCTGCCTTTGATTTTCAAGTTAGGATTTCAGATGGCATATATAGAGCAAAAAATGGCAGAGGAAAAATATACATCAAAATTAGATTACATTTAACTCCTATGAAGCCACTGAATGCCCTACTATCTTTTGCTAAACTTAACTAATTAATTAAATCCTTGTATATAGTCATTAAAGTCAGCAATTCATAAGAAAAAAAGGTAAAAGCTGATGGATGGATATATCCCAGAAAGACAGCTGAGGACAGCATATAATTACTATTCTAGATACCTCACCAGCATCATCCATGATTTCTTTGATTGCAACTAGTAGGGGTTGCCTGTGCTTGTCTTCCATGTACCACTTACAGGAACAATCCCAATGTTAGACTTCTGGAAGAGCAACATCTGTCTGAAAGAGCTGGAGCATGTGAAGGGGCTCAGTGGACACCAGCTGCAAGAACAAATACATACAAGGTAATATATATAATTTTTTTTTCCTCGTGGTTTATTAGAAGTCATTTCATTCTTGGGTGTGAGCTAATACCATGAGCTATCTTGCCAGGATGTTGATTTAAGTCAATGAGGACAGACAGGCTCTTTAGGTAATTTCAGAGGTGAATTAAGCCCACAGAACTGAAATCCCTAAATTTAGAAATCAATTCCCTTGAGCATGACACATTAAAAAGTTGGGCAAAGGGAAGAAGAAATATGGATGAATAATTGGTGAATGTGTCACATAGAGTGAATGCCATTTTTTTATACTGGCTCTAATTTTTTTCTCAAAGACTCATCTTCACTAACTGATTAGCTTTATCTGTAAAAATATCATCCTGTAGATGACTTTATTTATTTATTTATTTATCTCTCTATTTATTTATTGTGTGTGTGTGTGGTTGTCCCGGAGGCACTGTTTTATCTAGTCTTCTGCAAAG